GCATCACTGTTCTGAATCATGATCATTTGTAGAGCTGGTTGCTATGTTGGGAGTACATCACCATTCCTCATTACAAATATTTATAGCCTACTTAGATTTTAAAAAGAAGAAAGAACATTTTTACTGACTCTGGAAAGGGCTGACTGATCAAACAATTCTAGAAATAAACAGTTCAATCGATCTTTGCTGCCGCGATCCACTAGTTGCTCTGAATTTTCTTGGGTAAAATACCAGTACCATGAAAGACACCCCTAACGATGTACCTATTCATTACATTCTGAATTATTTGACAGGTTTTATCGTTACGTTTTGGAACCAGAGCTCTCTTTTAGAGTGGACAGCAGGTATGTACAAAGACCTTGCATTAGCACAAGGATAAGAGGAAGTAACGACTGGCTCTTATAGGGACCACGAAGTGAACTTTGTCACTTTGTTCAAATCATCCACATTTTTTTGGGAGGTGGAAAACTCTTCTTTCTTTTATCAAGCATGAACCCCTCATTGACTTGTAAATAAGAGTCATGGTGCCTTCTTATTCTAAATGAAATCCATTCTTATGTCTTTGTCGTCCTCAGTTGGTCAAATCCAAAATAACCTTGACTCAGAGGTTGGAGAAATTTATTTTTTCAAGAATGTCCTTCTTGATGACAGCTGCTCTTTCTTTGCAGTCTGACGGCTGGACCTATGGCCAAGTTCAGCGATATGCCCCCTGACACCTTGTTGACCCTTAACCTCTTGACCCCAGAGAGCTGGTTGGTCGAACCAGTCCGGACTGCCCACGATCTGGACAACATCAAACTCAGTGAGGTAGAAATGAACTTTGCTTTTTCAAAAATTCCAAATGTCTCTGACAAGGAACTACCCAGATTTCTGATGTTGTGTGAACTCATCTTTGGCATCTGTGTAATTCAATTTTAGAGCAAGACTGATCTGAAACTTACTATGAGAATATGAGATGTCATTCTTGACGTTGTATCTTTTCGCTTTGTTCTTTTCTGTTCCTCACGTCCTTGTATCAGTGACACGAAATTAATTTCTCCGACCTAAAACCAAAGGAGCAGGATTTGTGGTGATTTTTCTCTTTTTACAGTCAGAGATGGGCATCCATGGTCAGTATGAACTAGAATATCTTCTGGTGGAGGGACACTGCTTTGACCAAGCCAGCGGTCAGCCTCCCAGGGGATTGCAGTTCACTCTTGGTAACCAACAGGAACCGGTCATTCAAGACACGATCGTCATGGCAAACCTGGTGAGTGAGATCACATGATAATGTGATGTCATGCTGTAAGGTCAACATGAAAAGCCGTCTGCTGCTTGACCTCATGCATATTTATGACATGAAGTTTAACTGGTCTGTATGGTGAGAGAAATGATCTTAGATAACGAAGAACTCGCCAGTGAAATTTGTCTCATCGAGTGTCATCCCAGATGTATACTTTCTGCTAACCTTATGAGATACACCTTCGAATCATTCCTGGCCGACGTGTTGTATGAACCACAAAACACTCCTGTTTGTCTGAGTTCCCTTGTTTGTCGTGTCTGACAGGGATATTTTCAGCTGAAGGCCAACCCGGGGGCTTGGCTCTTGAGACTCCGGCATGGAAGATCAGCAGACATCTACCAAGTCAGTGGGTATGTAGATAAACATCTGGGTGTTTCAGCATTCTTGTTATTAATAGATGAAGTTTCTTTGCAGTCAGTTGGATATACCTTAGGCCTTATGTTGATTTGTGCCGATGACAAGTGGGCTGAATTCCGAGCGGGCATGTGGTATTGGGAATAATTTCTAGCATTTTTGAGTAAAAGTCACTTAGATTTCATTTAATGTTTGTTTTAACGTTGCAGTCATGAAGGCACGGATTCATTACCCGGTGTGAATGACACTATCATTACCATGGACAGCTTCAAGAGTAAAATCATCAAAATTAAGGTCAGTTTGTTAGAATTTATCTTGCAATTGTAAAAAATTCTTTTAGCAAATAAGAGCAATAACTATTAAATCAGTTGCTGGATCAGGTTGTCGGGGGAATCAGGTTGGTGTAGTGGTTCTTTCCTCGCCTTCCACCTATGTGACCCGGGTTCGAATCCAGCTTGGTCCACATGTGGATTTGGTTTTCAGTCCCTACCTGAGTCCAGGGGTTTTCCCCAAAACATTTGTCCAGGGTTTTCCTCTTTTCTTTCTTGTCTTCTTCACTCATCATCCTGTAATTGGTGCTAAATGCGCTGTTGGATGATCAGATATGAAGAAATGAATAAATTGATAAACAAACAATATGTCCACCATGGAACTGGTTTTCAGGTGAACAAGAAACCAGGGAAGGAGGATGAAAGTTTATTGTCGGACTCTCAAACTGACAAAAGGGTCGCTGGAGGAATATGGGACTCTTTGTCCAGGTAAGTGAAATTGTTGACAAGCTGGTCGTTGCAAAAATCTCAACAAATGTCTCAGAAAGTTGGTACAAGTGACTCAGCACAGCAGGAGTAATTTAATAAGGAAACAAGATATTGCCAAATTTGAATGATTAGTTGGCTGAGGTTTCAAGCATGTTCAGTTTAAAAAATGTTACAGTATTCCTTCTACCACAAGGTTTGCTAGGGTCCTGGCTTGAATTTTAGGATTGGGTGACAAGTGCCCTCTACAGATCATGCTCTGAGCTGATAGGCGTGGCCAGCTCAGTGGGTAGTACAGGAACCTATAGACGGGGGTATGGGGCTCAAATTATGTTTGCATCGAAGTGACTTTGACCGTTATTAGGTCTTTTTTCTCCAAGAATTAGTAGACGTACATCTAATCTTGTCACAGCTTTGTTTCCAGTTTGACAGGGTCTGGAGGCAAGGAGGGTGATTCTGATCAAGACAAGACACTTAACATCTTCTCCATTGCATCTGGTCATCTCTACGAACGCTTCCTCAGGTAGGTCTGAATTTCTGTCAAAGTTCTGAAGAGCTCAGTTATTCAATTACTAGTCCAGATCTTAAATAACCCTGTTAGAAAAACTAATCCTTTCTTTGAGGAAGATTAAGAATTACTCAATTTAAAACACTTATAATTAAGTGCACAAGTCAAAATAGCAATTTGTAGGTCATTGATTGGAGCAAACTGAGATCTGTTGAGCAGAGCATTTTGAAATGTTTGAGAAAGTTGGTAGTGACATTGGTCATAAAAGTTGATCCTTAATACTTAGGGATTGTGGCTACTGATCTTTGACAGCATTACTTTCAATTTGTAACACCAGGAACTTCACACTGTCTTGTTACGCAAGCTTGTTTAAAGTTTTCAGACTTGGACATCGAAGAATCTTTTGAGTTTAAACAATAAAAATTGTCATGTTCTTTTGTCAAATGTTTGCTTTGTTATTGTTTAGGATCATGATGTTGAGTGTTTTAAAGAATACAAAGTCGCCCGTCAAATTCTGGTTTCTGAAGAACTACCTGTCACCTACATTCAAGGTAAGAAAGTAACTCTGTCTCCAGTTGAAGATTGTTCCAATCATTTAGTACTGACATTTTTCACAGGGAGTTCTAAGCGCTGCCTTGAGATTTTAATGGGAATTCTGCTTCTTTCTCATTCTCCAGGAGTTCATACCTCACATGGCAGCTGAGTATGGGTTTGAGTATGAGTTGGTGCAGTACAAATGGCCACGCTGGCTTCATCAACAAACTGAGAAGCAACGCCTCATCTGGGGGTAAGACTGTCCACTTTGATCTTTGACTAGTTTCATTAGGTACTCTAATGTGTAAGCTGGGAACTAACTATGACCAAGTATATCCCATGATGTTTAGGTTGGTAACCTCTTTCTGTGCTCCACAGATTAATGACTTCTTAGAATTGGTTCCTTGCTTGTCTCAGTTACAAGATCTTATTCCTGGATGTCCTCTTCCCGTTGGATGTCAAGAAGATCATCTTTGTAGATGCCGACCAAATTGTGCGAGCTGACCTGCAGGAGCTGGCCAATTTGAACCTCCAGGGGGCGCCCTACGGTTACACACCATTCTGTGCCAGCCGTAGAGAGATGGATGGGTTCAGATTCTGGAATTCTGGGTACTGGAAGAGTCACCTGGCAGGCCGGAAATATCACATCAGGTACAGGGAGGGTTGGGATTTGAGGGGTGGAGCAGTTTGCTGATCTGAGAGGGGGATAGTAGAATGTGGAAGGGTGATTTTTAATGGAAAGTTGGAGTGAAAACTGGGTAAAGTCCTAATAGCATTTATTGGTCAGGTGACCTCAACGTAATCTACCATGTCAGCTTTACTTTGTGAGTTCTGTAGTAAAGTATGAACTTGCGTCTGTACGATTTAAAAATGATAGGATATGATTTCAGTGGTGTACACCCTCTACTGATGGGGATTGGCATTTTGTGTTTTTACTAAGGGGTCGTTTGAAAGGAAAGTGATTGAGATTTGTTGTTTGGTTCCTTGCAGTGCTTTGTATGTAGTTGATCTGGTCAAATTCCGCAAGATAGCTGCAGGGGATCGGCTAAGAGGGCAGTACCAGGCACTGAGTCAGGACCCAAATAGTCTATCCAACTTGGACCAGGTTAGTGGGATGGCAGTGCATTCATCCATGACAAGTGGCTTTTGTCTGAGATCGGACTGTGGTCTGAGATCGGACTG